CAACGTTTCGGTTTTTAATTTTTTCAATTTTTCAGATTTTCAATTTTTTTATCTCTCGATCTCTAATTTTTAAATTTTTTGATTTTTTGATGATTCGATTTCTCAGTCTTTCCATTCTTCAATTTTTCGATATTTTGTTTTATTAAAGTTTTTTAATTTTAGGTTTTTGTTTCCCCATTTTTGAGTTCTTCCAATTTTTAAATTTTACATTTTTTCTTTATGATGTCTCGATTTTTCTTCATCCTCTCGGTTTTAGATTTTTCAATTTTTGAGTTTTCCAATTTTTTGGTTTCTCGATCCGGAATTTTCGATTTTCTCGATCTTTTCGTGTTTCGATATTTATGATTTTCCAATTTTCGAGAATTCAGTTTCAGAATTTTTCAGTTTTTCATTTTTTTAAATTGTTTCGATTGCTCGATCTTTCGATTTTTCAGATTTCGTTTTTACGTTTTTCAAATTTTTTGACTTTTTCATACTTTTTATTTTTCAATTTTTATCGCGATTTCCCGATTTTTCAATTTTCAATTTTTCAACTTTGGGCTATTTCAATTTCTCGATTTTTCGTTTCCTCGATCTTTTTATGTTTTTTTTTTCATTTTTCGATTTTTCGACGTGTTGCTTTTAAATTTTTCAGTTTTTCAATTTTTCGATTTCTCGATCCCGAATTTTCGATTTTCCAGTTTTTCGATTATTTTTTTTTTTATTGTAAATGTTTCACTTTTTAAATTTTCGATTTTCTCATTCGTTTAGTCTTTCGATATTTCGATTTTCCTAATTTCGAAAATTCAGTATGGGAATCTTTCAATTTTTGAATTGTCGATTTTTCAATTTTTTGGTCGATCTTTTGATTTTTCGGATTTTGTTTTTCCGGTTTTACAATTTTTCGATTTTTTAATTTTTTGTTTTTTTTTCGTAATTTTTTAATTTTTATCGACGTTTTAATTCCCAATTTTTTTTTCATATTCTGTTTTTCGATTTTTCCATTTATAGATTTTTTTTTTGTTTAGTTTCTGAGTTTATAATGTTGCGATTTTGGGCTGTTTCAATTTTTCGAGTTTCCAGTTCTCCATCTCACGATCTTTTTCATACTGCAATTTCTGGATTTATCGAAATCTAGATGCGTCGATTTTTCGATTGTTCAATTTCCCGATGTTTTGGTTTTTCATTTTTTCAATTTTAGGCCATTTCATTTTTTTTTTTTATTTTTTAACATTTCGGTTTTTAAGTTTTTCAATTTCTAGTTTTTCAATGTTTTGATTTCTCGATCCCAAATTTTCGGTTTTCCAGTTTTTCAATTTTCGATTTTCCCGCTTTATTCGTGTATCGATTTTTCAATTTTCCAATTTTCAAGAATTCAGTTTGAGAATTTTTCAATTTCTGGAGTTTTTAATTTTTCTATTTTTTGAATTGTAGATTTTTCAATATTTAAATTTTTCGATGGCTCGATATTTCGATTTTTCGGATTTCGTTTTTTTTAGGTTTTGCAGTTTTTCGATTTTTTAAGTTTTTGTTTTTTTTAATGTTTTGATTTTCCGATTTTTCGATTTTCAATTTTACGAGTGACCGATTTTTTAAAATTTTTCAATTTTTCAGTTTTTCGGTATTTTGTTTTATTAAATTTTTTTAATTCTAGATTTTTGGTCTCCTATTTCTTACTTTTTTTGATGTCTCGGTTTCTCGAATTTTCTTCATCCTCTCGGTTTTAGATTTTTCAATTTTTTAATTTTTAAAACTTATAATATTTGATTTTTCAATTTTTCGATAAATATTTAATTTTTTCTATTTTTGAGTTTTTCAATTTTTTGATTTCTCGATCCTGAATTTTCGATTTTCTCGATCTTTTCGAGTTTCGATATTTTTGATTTTCCAATTTTCGAGAATTCAGTTTCGGAATTTTTCAGTTTTTCTACTTTTTAAGTTGTTTCGATTGCTCGATCTTTCGATTTTTCTGATTTCGTTTTCTCGGTTTTCCAATTTTTTGACTTTTTCATACTTTTTATGTTTCAATTTTTATCGCGATTTCCCTATTTTTCGATTTTCCATTTTTCGATTTATCGATTTTTTAAAATTTGGCAATTTTCAGTTTGTAATTTTTCAATTTTCGACTGTTTCAATCTCTCGATGTTCCTCCTTCTGTTTTTCACGATCTTTTCGTCCTTCAGATTCTCATTTTATTAAGATTTATTAGTGCGCCTATTTTTCGATTATTCAAGTTCCCGATTTTTCAATTTTTCAATTTTCGGCCATTTCAATTTCTCGATTTTTCGATTCCTCGATCTTTTTTGTTTTTTTTTTATTTTTCGATTTTTCAATGTATCGGTTTTTAAATTTTGCAGTTTTTCAGTTTTTTGATTTCTCGATCCCGAATTTTCGATTTTCCAGTTTTTCGATTATTTTCTTTTTTTTAAGTATTGTAAATGTTTCACTTTTTAAATTTTAGATTTGCTGATTCGTTTCGTGTTTCGATATTGCGATTTTCCTTTTTTCGAGAATTCAGTTTGGAAAATTTTCAATTTTTTAATTTTAGATTTTTCAATTTAATGCTTCTATTGCTCGATCTTTTGATTTTTCTGATTTCGTTTTCTCGATTTTTCAATTTTTAGATTTTTTAAATTTTTGGTTTTTTAATTTTTCAATTTTTATCCATTTTCAGTTTTTCCATTTTTCCATTTGATTTTAATTTTTTTTTAATTTTTGAGTTTTTAACTTTTGAATTTTGGGCTGTTTTATGTTTCCAGTTCTCGATCTCACGATCTTTCAAATGGTGCAATTCCTGGATTTATCGAAATTCAGATGCATCGATTTTTGGATTTTTTAACGTTTCTGTTTTTAAATTTTTCAATTTTCAGTTTTTCAATTTTTTGATTTCTAGATCCCGAATTTTTGGGTTTTCCAGTTTTTCGATTTTTTTATTATTTTTTTTTAATTTCAAATGTTTCAATTTTTTCAATTTTCGATCTTCTCGCTTTATTCGTGTTTGATGTTTCGATTTTCCAATTTTCGATAATTCAGTTTGAGAATGTTTCAATTTCTCGATTTTTTTTAATTTTCGACTTTTTTTAATTTTCCGAATTTCAATTTTTCGAGTTATTGATTTTCGATATTTTGTATTGTTTATTTTTTCTTAATTGTAGGTTTTTGGTCCCCTATTTTTGAGTTCTTCCAATTTTTAAATTTTACATTTCTTAATTTTTTGATGTGTCGATTTCTCGATTTTTCTTCATCCTCTCGGTTCTAGATTTTTCAATTTTTTAATTTTTAAAACTTACGATATTTGATTTTTCAATTTTTGAGTTTTCCAATTTTTTGATTTCTCGATCCTGAATTTTCGATTTTCTGGGACTTTTCGAGTTTCGATATTTTTGATTTTCCAATTTTCGAGAATTCAGTTTTTCAATTTTTTAAATTGTTTCGATTGCTCGATCTTTCGATTTTTCAGATTTCATTTTTTCGGTTTTCAAATTTTTTTACTTTTTCATACTTTTTATTTTTCAATTTTTATCGCGATTTCCCGGTTTTTCGTTTATTCAATTTCCCGTTTTTTCGATTATTCAATTTCCCGTTTTTTCGATTTTTCAATTTTTCAATTTTGGGCCATTTCAATTTCTCGATTTTTCGATTCCTCGATCTTTTTTGTTTTTTTTTATTTGTCGATTTTTCAACGTATCGGTTTTAAATTTTTCAGTTTTTCAGAGTTTTGATTTCTCGATTCCGAATTTTTGATTTTCCAGTTTTTTGACTGTAAATATTTCACTTTTTAAATTATCGATTTACTCATTCGTTTCGTGTTTCGATATTGCGATTTTCCTATTTTCGAGAATTCAGTATGGAAATTTTTTATTTTTTTAATTTTCGATTTTTCAATTTGATGCTTCTATTGCTCGATCTTTTTAAATTTTTCAATTTTTGACTAGATCCCGAATTTTCGGTTTTCCAGTTTTCCGATTTTTTCATTTTTTTTTTTTAATTTCAAATGTTTCAATTTTTTCAATTTTCGATCTTCTCGCTTTATTCGTGTTTGATTTTTCGATTTTCCAATTTTCAAAAATTCAGTTTGAGAATTTTTCAATTTCTCGATTTTTTTTAATTGTCGTTTTTTTTAATTTTTCGAATTTCAATTTTTCGAGATATTGATTTTTTTTAATTTTTCATTTTTCAGTTTCTACATAATTTTTCTATTTTGGGTTGTTTCAATTTCTCTATGTTTCCATTTGTCGATTGCACGATTTTTTCATGTTTTTTTTTATTTTTTGATTTTTCAACGTTTCGGTTGTCAATTTTTTCAATTCTTCAGTTTTTCGATATTTTGTTTTATTAATTTTTTTTAATTTTAGGTTTTTGCTCCCCTATTTTTGAGTTCTTCCAATTTAGAAATTTTACATTTCTCGATTTTTCTTCGTCCTGTCGGTTTTAGATTTTTCATTTTTTTTATTTGTAAAACTTATATTTGATTTTTCAAATTTTTCAATTTTTGAGTTTTCAATTTTTCGATATTTTATGGGGATTTTCAATTTTTTAATCTTTTGATTTTTCAATTTTTCGTTTTTTCGTACTTTGTCCCGTTTGGTTATCGTTATCAGTTTTATTAAAAATACAAAGCCACAATTACAACGCACAAACGCCAGTGCCACCATTATTAGGTCAACACCTCTATCTCTGGGTGGCCCTAAAAAATCTAATTGAAGTTTATTCACTCAATGTCATAATTTAACGAGCTTGCAAAATTGCATCATTTTAGGTTATGAGGCCATTAATCTTTTTACTAATTTCACGGATGTTCAGCAATGATATCTTAACCTTTTGCCTCATAAATGTGTTTATGACTTGACCATTACTCTCTTAATTGTCGGAAATGTTTATTTGAAGTGCAATAAATAGAAAATTATTAAATCACATCAGCAAACACACAGGGTGTTCCAACTATCTATAGATAATAATTAAAAAAAAAAAAACGTATTGTTTTTAGTAGCACACTACAACTTAGTTTTTCTCTTTTCCAGAATCTCCATCGAGGAAAAAATCGAAATCGAAACTAAAATCGCCGAAGGGTCTGGCGGCAAGGGCGTTAAACCCAGCCACGTCCCTTGGTTGAAAATCCTGACGTCAGGACCCGTATGGGCCATTATAATAACCCACGGCTGCTCGGTTTTTTGTTACTTTACGGTCGTCAACCAGCTACCTTCCTACATGGACCACGTGCTACACTTCAACATCAAGAAGAATGGGGTATTGTCCAGCTTACCCTATCTCGGTAGGTACAAAGTCCGTTACAATAAACACACTATCGTTGTTTACGGTTTTTATTCCTTACTCAGCAAATCAGTTTTTTGATAAAAGGCCGCTCCAACGGTCTTGAACCTTTCCTTTACGAAAAGCAAAAAATTGGTCTAAAGAGTTTAGACAGTACTTCCCTCGCTGTCGGAAACTTGACGACTGCATGGCTATTGTGTTTTTTTCTCATTACATTTTTGTAGTGGGAATTTAAAAAAAATTGCGATGACGTCAACATTTTTGCAAGGACACATATATCAGTTGAGATAGATGTAGTGTAATACTAAGAATAAAATTATTGTATTCCCAAATTTTCGGGAAAATGAATTGGGTCGTTTTGAATATTGATTTTTTATAATCAATAAAATAACGAAACAATTTACTCACGTATACGGCAACTGAAAATCGTTTATGTATAAACATTCTTAATTTAAGATGACAGGCGTAACAGCATACGTGAGAGTCAAACAGAGAAACTGTAAACAAAACGACCATCGGTTTTAGGGCTTCGACTTCCGCTTATTATATAAAACATTGGGTTTTATTTTAATTCTTGACGGTGAAATTCACAATTGGTTGATTATAAACATGTCTATTTCACATTCGCGGAACCAAGTGATCGCATAAAACAAATGCAGGTCTGTAATGTTAAAGTCGATGTAAATAAGCGTGCTACCCTTATGTTTCAACCGAGTTTTTCCTTTAACAAATTTTGTGTCTACCAAATTGGGTTGGTTGGGGTGTAATACTAATAATAAGTGTTGCCTTTAATTTAATCAATAAAATAAATTGACTTCATTAATTTTTTTGAACCACCTCTTAAGAAAATCTAAAAAATATGAATGGAATGATAAATCACAAGTACAAACTCATCATATTTTTTGCATTTTAGATAGGATTTATTCAGCAAAATTTAAGGGTGACGTCATCAATTTTTTTAGGAGGGATGAAGAAATACATTTTGAACAAAAGTTTACCATGCTTATAATAACTTTAAAATATTCCCAAGATTTCAAAGCATTCGGTTTTGTAATTCCTAATTAAATCGATAAAATAAATTCACGCCTTCATTAATTTTTTTGAGTCACCCTGCATATGCAAATCCAAAAATATGATTGGAATGATAAATCACAAGTACAGACTCATCATATTTTGTACATTTTAGATACGATTTATTCGGCAAACTTTTGAGCTGACGTCATCACTTTTTTGTAGAAGATAACCAAATATATTTTGACTAAAAATTTATTATGCTCTTTATAACCTTAAAACATCTGCAAGATTTCAAAGCATTCGGTTTTGTAGTTCCTGATTAAATCAATAAAATAAATTTACGCATTCATTAATTTTTTTGAGTCACCCTGTATATGCAAATCGAAAAAATTTGAATGGAATGACAAATCACAAGAAGAGACTCACCATATTTTGTACATTTTAGATAGGATTTATTCAGCAAAATTTTGTGGTGACGTCATAAATTTTTTAGGGGGGACGACCAAATACGTTTTGATCAAAAATTTACCATGCTTATGATAATTTTAAAACATCTTCAAGATTCCGAAGCATTCGGTTTTGTAGTTCCTGAGTAAATCAGTAAAATAAATTTACGCTTTAATTTATTTTCTTGAATCACCCTGTATATGCAAATCCAAAAAATATGAATGGAGTGATAGATCACAAGTACAGACTCATCATATTTTGTACATTTTAGATATGATTTATTCGGCAAACTTTCGAGCTGACGTCATCAAGTTTTTGGAGGGGATAAGCAAATATTTTTTGACTAAAAATTTATGATGCTCTTTATAGCCTTAAAACATCTGCAACATTTCAAAGCATTCTGGTTAGCAGATTAAAAATAAATTTCAAAATGTTGTTTTATAATTTTGATTTTTTTTCCAAAAATCTGGACGTTTCGGGTGAAAAGTCGATTCGGAGTTGTAAACTACATGTGTAGGACTATGTTATTTTATACAATTGAAAACCCATTTACTATGTACAATTTTGAAGTGACGTCATCGCATTAGTGGTGGGGATGATTAGACAAATTTTGGTTAGCGTTTTACCATCTACATGATATTCTTAATATAAGTACAAAATTTCACAACAATCGGTCGAGTACTTTCGGAGATTATCTGTCTAATAAAAATCCGGGACAACAGACGGACAGACGGACAGACGGACAGACGGACAGACAGACGGAAATGGGAGACCTATTTCTTCGTCTTCTAGGGGTCATGAAAGATCGAGAAAACGTAAAAGTAGAGAGTCGGCCGACGGACTCGATTACAATACTTCCTTTGCTTATGCTCGGGAAGTAAAAATAAATAAAACGCAGCTACGCTTCCGAATTGCTAACCCTTCCACTCCTCTTCCAGGCAAGTACGCCATGGCCGTCATCGCCAGCTACCTCGCCGACCGCCTCCGCCGCTCCGGCCGCCTCTCCACCACCGTGACCCGCAAGGCCTTCACCACGTTCGCCGTCCTCACGCCCGCCTTCCTCATGATAGTGGAGGCCTTCCTCGGCCAGGACCCCGTCGTCACGGTGGTGGTGTTCACGGCGTCGCTGTTCTTCAACGGCGCCGTCACCGCCGGCTACCTCTCCAACGGCCTGGACATCGCGCCCAACTTCTCGGGCACCATCTTCGGCATGGCCAACACGCTCTCCTCGTTCGGGGGCTGGCTGTCCACGAAGATCGTGGCCATCCTGACGGAGGAGGAACAGACGTTCGAGCAGTGGCGGTACGTGTTCTGGATCCTGGTGGGGGCGTACGCGGGCGGGGCGGCGGTGTATCTGCTGCTGGGCAGCGGGGAGCTGCAGAGGTGGAACTCGGCGACGGAGGAGGAGGCCAACGGGAAGGAGATGCAGCCGCTGAAGAAGGAGAAGGAGATCATCGCGTGAGGGCGAAGGGGGCGGGGGGCGGGGGTGTATTTGTATATATTGTGATCGATTTTTTTAATAAAATGACGTACCGAAGAGTGGGTGTTTTTTTGGGGGATTAATTTTTTCTAATAAAATTTTGGGGCGGATTTTTTCCGAAAAAAGACAGAAGATATACAAAATATTTTCGTACAAAAAAACGTAGTCCACAGAGGAGACTTTTTTCTTGTGAAAAATAAAAAAAGAAAAATAAATGAGAAGAGAACAACAGAAAAAGGTAAGTATAGACTCAGAAAAATTTTGAAATTGTCAAAAATGGAATATCTGTTCTATAAAAAATGTTCCGCAATTTTAAATTTTGAGTTTTTTTCGACAGATCTTGAAGAAATCTAGCCATCGAAAAATGATGACGTTTCAAAATATGCAAATAAATAAATAAATAATATAAACAAAATAAAACGATATAATAAATAAATAACGTAATAAATAAAATACAATGATAACTTTTTAAAATACGTTATAATTTCGGCCCAAAAAATACCAAAAATTTTGATATTTCGAATTTTGGATTTAAAAAAATTTCAAGTGGAGACAATGACACGTAAAATTTTCAATCTAGCAATTTTTCGATGGGTTTTAAATAAATGGGGATTTTTTTTATTAAGAAACTTATACTTTGATGGAGAAAATTAATTTTTGAGAATAATTTTAAATTCATCAAAACGTTTCTTCTGTAGAAAATTTTCAGCAAATTTTGAATCTGAAGGTTTTTTTGGTGAATCTTAAATGAATAAAGACAACGGGAAAAATTATTTCGTTACAATTTCTGACAAAAATAATATATAAATGCAGATGGTTATGTGGGAAATTTTCTGCAATTTTTAATTTGGAAGTTTTCCATAGTAAACTTTAAATCTGTGATTTTTTTCAGTCATAGTTAAATTTTATGGTGCTAATAAGGGCGAAAAAGGATAATAAGATCGAAAAAGGACGAAGAAGGACGAAAAAAGACGATGAAGGACGCAAAAGGACGAAAAAGAATAATAAGGACGAAAAAGGATAATAGGGACGAAAAAGGATAATAAGAACGAAAAAGGACGGAAGAGAACGAAAGAGGAGGAAAAAAGATTATAAGAACCAAAAAAAACGAAAAAGGATAATAAGGTCGAAAAAGGACGAAAAAGACGAAAGAGGACGAAAAAGGACGACAAAGGATAATAAGGACGAAAAAGGCCGATAAAAGGATAACAAGGACGAAAAGGGCGAAAAAAGGACGAAACAGGATAATGAGGACGAAAAAGGACGATAAAGGATAATAAGAACGAAGAAGGACGAAAAGGACGAAAAAAGGACGAAAAAGGATAATAAGGACGAACAAGGATAAAAAGGATGAAAAAGAATAAAGGATAATACGGACGAAAAAGGATGAAAGAGAACGAAAAATGACAAAAAAGGACGAAAAGGACGAACAAGGATGAAAGAGGACGGTAAAGGACGGGAAGAACGAAAAAGGACGACAAAGTATAAGAAGGACGAAAAGGACGAGGAAAGGACGAAAATGGATATTCAGACTAAAAAGGGCGAAAAGGACGAAAAAAGAAAATAAGGACGAAAAAGGATAACAAGGACGAAACAGGATAAAAAGGACGAACAAGGATAAAAAGGACGAAAGGAACGAAAAAAGACGAAAAACGATGAAAAGGACGAAAAAGGACGACAAAGAATAATTAGGACGAAAATGGACGATATTAAGAACGAAAAAGGACGAAAAGGACGAAAAAGGATAATAAGGACGAAAAAGAACAAAAAGGACGATGAAGGACGAAAAAAGGACGAAGAAGGACTATAAGGACGAAAAAGGACTACAAAGGACGAAAAAAAATAATAAGGACGAAAAAGGATAATAGGGACGAAAAAGCATAATAAGAACGAAAAGGTCAAAAAAGAAAAAGGACGAGAAGAACGAAAAAAGACGAAAAAGGACGAAAAAGGATAAAAAGGCCAAAAAAGAATAATAAGGACGAAAAAGGATAATAGGGACGAAAAGGGATAATAAGGACGAAAAGGACCATAAAGGACGAAGAATGACGAATCAGGACGAAAAAAGATGACAAGGACGGAAAAGGATAATGAGGTCGAAAAAGGAGGAAAAAGGGTAATAAGGACGAAAAAGGACGGAAAGGACGAAAGAGGACGAAAAAGGACGATAAAGGATAATAAGGACGATAAAGGATAATAAGGACGAGAAAGGACGAAAAAGGATAATAAGGACGAAGAAGGACGAAAGGAACGAAAAAAGACGAAAAATGACGAAAAGGACGAACAAGGACGAAAGAGGACGATAAAAGACGAACAGGACGAAAGAGGACGAAAAAGGACAACAAAATATAATAAGAACGAAAAAGGACGAAAAGAGGACGAAAAAGGACGAAACAGGATAATAACAACGAAAAAGGATAGTAAGGTCGAAAAAGGACGAAAAAGGATAATAAGGACGAAAAGGACGAGAAAGGACAAAAAAACGAAAAAGGACGAAAAAGACGAAAGAGGATGAAAAAGTACGACAAAGGATAATAAGGACGAAAAAAGATAATAAGGACGAAAAAAGATAATAAGGACGAAAAAGGATAATAAGGTCGAAAAAGAAGGAAAAAGGATAATAAGGACGAAATAGGATGAAAAGGACGAAAAGGACGAAAAAGGACCATAAAGGATATTAATGACGAAAAAGGACGAAAAAATTACGAAAAGGACGAAAAAAGGACGAAGGACGAAAAGGACGAAAGAGGACCAAAAAGGATAGTAAGGACGAAAAATGATAGAAAGGACGAAAAGGACAGAAAAGAACGGAAAATGACGAAAAAGGACGAGAAGAACGAAAAAAGACAAAAAAGGACGAAAAGGACGAAAAAGGATAATAAGGACGACAAAGACGAAAAAGGACGAACAAGGACGAAAGAGGACGAAAAAGGACGAAAGAGGAAGAAAAAGGACGAAAAAGGATAACAAGAACGAAAATGGATAATAATGACGAAAAAGTACGAAGACGGATAATAAGGACGAAAAAAGACGAAGAAGGACGAAAAAAGACGGACAAGGACGAAAAAAGACGAAAGAGTACAAGATGTCAACTTCAAATTTTTGGCATCAGTTCAGTAGCTGTCGTTTTCTCATTGGTTTTTAGGTGCGTTCATGTCAAAATTGTCAATTGTGACTTGCTAACATTGGTGCCAATAGTTCAGAATTGCCAACCTAAAAATTTGCTTCTATCATTAATAGTCAAAAGTTCGTTTTCTGAGAAATTTTGAGTGGAGAAAACTGTATGAAAAGAAATCAGAATATCAAAAATGTTCTAATTTACAATTTTTTTACAATAAATAAACTAAAACATAACTAAAAAACTACAATACCGTGATAACAAATTTTGAGAAAAATAGATACGTTCTTTTTGCGGAAACAAAAAAATCTATAGAGAAAAATGGCAAAAGTTAAAACTAAAACAAAAAAAAATTGATACGATTAAAATTTTTGAGAAAAAATTCGAGAAGTTCTAAATTGAAATTCAAGATAAAAACCATTGCACAACATAATTTTGCAAAATTTTTAAGTCATCAAAAATGGAAACTATTGTTCTACAGACATTTTTTTGCAAGACAGAATCTACAGGGTTTTTTCCGTCGATCTTGAAGAAATAACGGGTGTACAATAAAAATAAATTTGTGTGGACTGGCGATTTTTTAAAATGACTTTTATACTCGTTTAGACTCGTCACGGCTTTTTTTGTAATAATAAAGAATTATCGGCTTAACCATGAATATTGTTTATTTATATTGACCTAGATTTCTCCCATTCTTATTGTATTCTGAGGATGCTCGTAATAAGGATGACGGAAACCTAGGTCAATACAGTATAAACTCGATAATCCGAAGTAATTGAGGAAAAGGGGATATTTTCCACTAGGTATATCCATATGTAGTACTTGAGTACAAGAAAAATTGATTTTGGTAAATGTTAAACCTTCTAAGAACTTTATCAGGCCCCACCCACCCGCCTTCTATTTTCGTAGAAGCTACATCATTTGCAAAACTTGTTTCAGTTTTGGGATTATTCAGTATATCGAATTTTTAAATTTTAGAATTGAATTTCTCCATTTTTCACTGTTTCGATTTTCCAGTTTTTCGATATTTATTTTTTCTAATCGACTTTTCTATTTTTAAAATTTCCCAATTTTTGTATTGTAGATTTTTCAATTTTTTCGATTTTTTGATTTTTAAAATTTTTGATTTTTCAATTTTTCGGTTTTTAAATTTTTCAATTTTTCGAAATCTCGATTTATCGATATTTCGATTTTTCGATTGTTCAATTTATCGGTTTTTTCAGTTTTTCAATTTCCCAGTTTTTCGAGAATTCGATTTTTTCATTTTTGTTTTTCGGTTTATCAATTTTTCGATTTTTTAAATTTTACTTTTTTCAATTTTACGATTTTTTGATGTTTCGATTTACCTATTTTTACATTTTTTCAATTTTCAATTTTTGGATATCTTATATTTCGATTTCTCAATTGTTTGATTTCTCCGTTTACCGATTTTTCAGTTCTCCCATTTTTCAATTTCTTGATTCTTCAATTTCCCGATGCTTCAATTTTTCGATTTCTAAATTTTTGGCGTTCCTAAGTTTTCAATTTTCGGATTTCCCAATGAATCAATTTTCCGACTTTTCGTTGTACCAATTTTTTTATTTTCCCTTTCTCGTTTTCTGGACTATTTGATTTCTCAATTTTTCAGTGTTTCAGCCTAGGGACTTTTCAATTCAATTTTTTGGTTTATCAATTTTTCGATATTTCATTTTTGGGATTTTTCATATTTCGACTTTATAAACTTTAGATAGTTCAATTTAAATTTTTCGATTTTGCAGTCTTTTTATTTTTCAGTTTTTGGATCTTTCGAATTCTGGGTCTTTCGATTTTTCGACTCTGTTTTAATTTTTTCAATTTTTTGATTTTTAAAATATTATTTTTGATTTTTCAACTTTCCAAGTTCTCGATTTATCGATTTTTTATTTTAATTTTGCAATTATTAATTTTTCGATTTTTAATT